CTCTCTCTCTCTCTCTCTCCTTCGTTCTATATATATATATATATATATGTCTATCGTATCAATGTTTCACACTTGCACTGCTCTGCCCTATCCCAATCGGCTTTCCTCTATCCGTTCTCTCTCACCTATTTATCTTGTTTCTCTTTGCGCTGATAACAGCCCCTGTATCTCTCGGTACTTGGTATTTCTCGAGTCCCGAGGCGGTCCAGAGGTTGGCGCAAAATGAACCGCGCATGTGCAGCCCCATTTCTTCGCGACCTAGTGACACAGACAGATTCTCTCTTCCTTTTCTCCTTCTCCCTCATCGTTCATTCGTTCTTTCTCTTTCTCTCGTTGTTGCACCTCTCCCTCTGTTGATTTCGATGCTGGAATCGAAGCAGAACTATCGTTCTTCGGATGGGGTAAAATTCCCAATTACTGTCAATTTGAGATATAATCATAATATTGTTATATTTTTAAATTATTTATTTAATAGAAACATTTTTTTTATTTATTTGTATATATAATTTTTTAATTTATTATTATTTAACATTTAAAATGTTCTTCTTTTGGAAAGAAAATTATTGATTTTGAAACGAATTTTTCAAGAAAATATTTTGGATCTATTATTCGTATTTTTCGAAATGCGGTGGATATATTCACTGATATTCCAATGATTGTTAGATGATTATTTAAATATTGTTAACCTGTTCACAGTTGTATATATGTTTGTAAATTACAATAAATATTTTTTTATTAAAGAAAAGTATTATTTTTGAATTTATTCAAGTTTATTCAAGTTATTTATTAATTATTCTAATTTTATATTATAGTAATTATAATTTTTTTGAAAATATATTGAATAAAAATTTTAATATTTATTTATGATTCTACTAATTTTATAATAAATTTTGTAATAAAAATACTTATAAAGAATGTAATTTGATAAAATTTACTTATGAATTTTAGATATTATTTTAAGGTGAAATTGTTTAGCTTTATAAACATATATGATGGTAATTATTCATATTTTTAACGCAAGATTCTGTCATAGAACTAACATATGAATATACGATGCTTTAACTTATTGTTTTCACTCCGAAATTAAATATAAATATTAATAAAATCAATTAAATAATATTTTTTATTTAAATTTAACTAATATACATTTAATATACATTTATTAGTAAATTTTTATTATATTATATATGTAGTTCAAATTAAATAATAAAATAATAATCTCTTTTTAAGTGTTTTTTACTTTCATTTTTCATTTCATATTTTTAAACAATTTGTAAAAATTAATAAAAAAATTGTTTTTTAATTTTTTATTAGATATTAGATATAGATTTATTAGATTATATTTAATTTATGTTTAATTTTTTTTAATATGATTTTAATTAATTTTTTTCAATATAATTTTCTAACATAAATTTTACATAAATAATGCATAAATAATAGACTGACAGTAATTGAGTATGTGGCCATAATTGAGAATTTTATCTTTTATATACAAAACATATATCGTTGAGAATCGTTTACTTTATTGGATTTTATCATTTTATATATACTTTTATTTTCGAGAAATTTGTGAATGTTCTTATTTTCATTCCTTTGATTTATTTATTACTTTTATAAATCAAAAAGCATTCATTAATTTCGAATATATTCATATTGTAAATATCATTTTATATATTCATTTTAAAATAATTAATAATATAATTTATAATGCACAACTAAGACATTATAATTGATAATAAAAATGAAGATGAAAAAATTAAAAAATTATGTTTAAAAATATATCCTTAAAAATTATTCTTAAAATTAAAATTTTATATTGCGATAGCTCAAAAATTAATTAAAAAAAATATTATTTGCATTCTAAAAAATAATTTTTTTCATGATTATTAGAAGATAATCATACAATTTTAATATTTTCGTTTCATTTTAACAAATAGCCTATGTTTTAAACTTTTCAATCTTTTTCATGAGTTTAATAATTTAAATTTTTTAAAAAATAATTGATTTTATTGGCTAACTTGTGATATATTTAAAAAAAAATCTACAATATTTTATACGATTTTTGATATTAGATATTAGAATTATTCATTTTTTTATTTATTCATGATTTTGATACTTGATGGTTTTAAATTGATGACCTGAGAAAAACAAAAGTAAATATGAAAAAATTTAATCCAATAAAATAGAAGAATTAAAGATTTCAATGAAATTAACGTTCAATTTTTTTTTAATTTTAATTATCTTTCAAAATACAAAGAAAGCACAAACCTTATTAAACCTAATATAATATAATTACTTTTATAAGAAAAAATTCATGTAATATAAATGATCAAATAGAAATAATCTATAAACAGTGATCATTTAAAATTTAAGATTAAAGTTATTAAATATACCTTTTTCTTCTTTCAAATCATAAATTACGATAAAATATATATGTTCTATTTTCTCATTTATTTCAACTTTATAAAAGCATACAATATGTGAATGCATAGAAGAAAAAAAAAATAAAGACATAATACAGACTGTCTACCGCGTTTTATTCTAATTTTAATCAAGCCAGTTTCGAGTAATTTTTATTTTTAAAAGAAAATTTTTTTTTAATCTTTAATTTTTAGAGAATATAAAAAAATGAAATTTTCATATATATATATCAAAATATGTTAAAGTAATATAATATAATAAAAATGAAAAGTTAATATAACAATAAATGTAACAATTTGACAATATAATAATGTAACAATGTATCAATTTTCGTGTATACTTTTTAAAAAAACGTATTAAAAAGTTATATTAAAAATTATAAATTTACAAATTATATTGAATATAATAATATAAGAATATAATAGTAATAATAAGAATGAAAAATTGTTACAAATCGTAAGTCTCAAGGAATTAACAAAGATACATTATTTCTTTTGAAGTTTTTAAAATATGTTGAAAATATGTTGAAAATATGTTAAAAAATTATGTTTAAAGTTTAATTTTTATGTAAAATATAGAAAAATATTTATATATGTAAAAAGATGAAATTTATAATCTTTCATTGTGAAATATATTATTCGGTTTAAGAAAATCAAAAATCTTCTCTTGAATATTTTTAAAATATATATAGTTATAAATTTTAAAGAAAATTAATCTTTCAAAAATTTTAAATAATTGCAAATCATTTTATTAATCAATTAGTAACAAAAAAAGATACGATCAAATATATCATTTTTAATTTTATAATTTAGTCCTCTAAAAAATTGTTGATTGTGAGATATATGGTAATTTGATATAGTTTTTTTTAATATTTTAATATAGTAATAAAAATACTAGCAAAGTTTAGATCTAAAGATTTTCATCTGTTAAACATATATTATCATTATTCATAAATATATTTAATTTTTATTGAACAGATTTTTTATGCAAAACAAAATTTAATTATTTAAAATAAAATAAGTAATGAAATACATATATCTATTAATTGTAAATATTTTAATAATGTATACTAATATACAAGTATAATATGCTAATATTCATATAAATATGTAAACATTTAATATGTAATATAACAATATAACATTTTCTTATTATTTTTACATTAGCGAAATAAAATATTTAAAAAATATTTTCCATATTTCTGTTTAATTTGTTAGAAAAATTCTTTGTATTTTCAGAATGCAAAGAAAAATATTAAATAAGCCAATAACTTGTAAACATGAAATAACAAGAATCAATGATATAAATAATTTATAATTTTATTATTAAATACAATATGCAATACGTAAGAAAAATATTTTTCATACGTGTATCCGTACTTATAATCTATTTCTCCTCATCCTTTGCGTCGAATAACCAATAATTTTGTTACTCGAAGAACAAAGACGACAATGCCGAATGATTCGTCACATATTCCACAAAATTAGTTAATTATCTTATCATAAATTGTACTCGTTAACTCCTTTTGATCGAGGGAACCATTTTTTGTTTAAGTTCTTTTTTCACGTTTCATTCAATTCCCTTACGCTATACTCGTACAAAGCTTCGTAAATCTAATATAGTATTTGGTCAAACATAACTGAAGGTAAAAATGGGAAAAAATTGTAACGAAAAAAAGAAAGAAAGAAAGAAAGAAAGAAAGAAAGGAACCAACGATAGTATTGTGAACGCTTTGAACATGGAGCTACAAAAGAATAAAGAAAGCAACGAATAAACGATAACACGTAAAGTTCGTTGAACGTCGTCGAAGGCAGGATTGTTGGAGTTTGCGCGGCAGAAAGTTTCATCTCTCCCAGGTGGGAGATCCACGAGGATCTGTCACAAGAATCGCATGTAGATCTTCCCCGCGAGTGCCGGTACTCGGTTCGAGCTTATTTTATTTTTTTTTTTCGATCAAAATTCTTTTCCGTGCCACTTCGAAGAGGGAAAAAAGTGTAGCGAAATGTTAGGGTAAGTAAATATTTTTCACTTTTTTTCGATCGATGAATGTAGTTTTAATAATAGATAATCGTTTAAATTTAAATTACTTTTATATCGTTAAATTTTTTTTTATCATATATCATGTTAGATAAGAATTAAAAAATTTATATTGAGACAAGTAAAATATATTTTAATTTATCTCATGTACAAAGTAAGTTTAATTGGTAACCATGCCAAAATTATTTTTAATGCAAAAAAATTTGATCTGATTTTTATTGGTACTAATGAATATATACATATGAATACATATATGTAATAATGTTATGATTAAGTTAGCAAAGAAAAATAATCGAAAAATTAAGATATATTGAATAATTAATAATATAATTAATAAATGTTATTAATCATATAAATATTCATTCATTAAATAACAAATATAAAAATCTTGTATGTTATATTTTATTATTTTTTTTTACTTTATATAAGTATTAATGATATTATGATATAATATTAATACAATTATGCAAGAAATTGAATATTTTTCCGAGAATGGCATATAAAGCCATATTATAATTAAAAAATTATAGAGAGAAGTAAATTATAGTGATGAAAGCAGTGCCAAAAATTGGCATTCTGCATCGATTAGCTAGCCTCAAATATGGCGATATTGATACAGACCGTTAATGAAAAAGCTGAAATTAAAGTGATACGTTCCCAGTAAATATATACCTGCAATAGCCGAAAAAAGAAAAAAATAATTACCGGTTTTTTGTCGGCTTATGCCTTTTCGTTGATTATCGTCTTTTTCAAGCCAAGAATTATCGCAATTTCTATTCAGTAACTTTGAAATATACATATATATGTATATATATATATATATATGATTTTGATGTTTTTGCAATATAATCTACAAATATACATACATGACATATGTTATTTATATATATTTTTATTATATAAATATATATCTAATGAAAATTTTTAATTAATTATTTTATTGATAACAAAATAAAATCTTTGCACGATAGAATAAATAATTAATAAATAAATAATTAAAAATATTTAATTTTAAAATATAATTTTAAAAGTAATCAATTTAAAAAAAAGTATTTAGTTTCATTAGTTTCATAAAAAAGAAGAAAAAAAGACTAAAAACATTGTAAGAAAATCGCTTTAATTTAAAATATGAGAAATTATAAAAATATTTAAGAATTATATATTTAAAAAAATATTAAAATCATGAAACATATACATATACGTTAATGATTGAAACATTATGTTGCATTTGTTGATCATTGTAATAACTGTAATATAAATAAATTTGCCAAAAAAATTTTTTTTTCTAATATCTTTTCGAAAAAAAAGGGCACCGGAAGAGTTTAAAGGGCGATTCTGACGTAACGAGGGAGAATGTTCACTCGAAAGATCGAGGGGTACCCTCGTCGGAAGTTGCTGAATCCGCGGCTAAGGAGAGCACTTTTATACTCTATTCCCCTCTTTTTCCTTTACCTAGGCCTCTCATGCTTTCCCTCTGTCTTTCTCGATACCAACCGTTCTTTCCTTCTTACGTGACCAAGTTTGAATTTTTCACTTTTTTTTTACTCGTTTTTATTTTTCACGCACCCAAAAATCTTTCTCTTTACGTGACTATTCGAGTAATGAATAATTATAATGATAATTAGGGTGAGAATATATTTGAGAGTTGCTCTTGAGAAAATTTTTTACAAGTGGAAATGTCGAGTGTCCGAAAGTAATTTTCATTTTCAACTGGCGTTATCTACTTGCGAAAAATAACTCTTGAAAGTAACTCGAGAGAGAGTTTTACTCTTAAATGTATTTTTCTCATATTAATTTTAATATTTTTCTTTTTTCATTTCACAATCGATACGATATATCGATATTAATAATTATAAATATATTTAATATCTATTAATATTGTTAATATAATTTGCAAAAATACAAAATTTGGATGAATTTTTTTATAAATAAATAGACTGTGTTTTTTCTTAAATAATTCAATATAATTATTTTGATAATTTTCAATTATTAGTCAACAATTGAATTTTTTTAAAATATACGGACATCATTATTTAAAACTTTCAAAAATTAAAATTTTTATGCAACTATACATAATCTTTAATTTTAATTATAAAATTTTTATAATGTAATTATATAATTAGATGAATAATTATTTTTTTATGTAAATAATGACATATATTATAACATCAAAATTTTGGCATATATCTAATTTATAAATAATATTAAAAATCACCATTGGCTATGAAATATTATCTTTATCAATATTAATTAAATTAGAATTTAATTTTTGATTAGCTGATCTTTTAGATTGAAATTTTAATAATAAAATAAATAATATTTAAAATTTATAAATTTACAAAATTACATACAATAAATTTATAAAATTACATACAAATTTAAAAAATTTATCCGATTGTCTTATATTTGACATAAAATTATATGAAATTTAAAAGAAGTTTATAATCAATAACTTGTAATTTATTAATTCACTAATGTAATATTATTATAAAAAAAGATATATAATATAAATTTTAATTTTTAGTTACATATATTTAATTGTAATTTTATTTTACTATGAACGAAAATCATCAACTTAATATTTTTAAAATATTTGAAATACGGTATTTTAATAAAAATTCAAATATTCATTATGTTAATTTTTATTTATTTTTTTCACAAAGTTTTTAAACATTAAGTATTTCAGAATTTTTCAAAAAAAATTTTTTATTTTATGAATACTCATAATTTAATTTGAAACTTTGTTTTGAAGGATACACGTGATAAACATTGGTGAGTAATATAAAGTTCGACGTGATATTCTTTTGAATCTAGAGCTTCTAATGGCTATTCTTTTCGCTCCAGTATTGTAGTGCAAACAATGCAGTTTCTTTGACTGTTGGGTTATTCTCATCCTTTTCAAATATGAAGTGGGGAATGTCTAGAGTGTGAATAAAAGACTAGATAATCTACTAATTACGCAATTTCCGCTTTAAATTATCTTTTTCAATTAAAATAATTAATTAAATATATTATATAATTTCTAAATATATTTATAATAAATATTTTTGTATTTTAAAAAAGTCAAAAAATGATATACAATCAATATTTTTATAAAACATAAACATTGAAAAGAAAATTAATCAAGTATATAATTATTTTTTCATAACATTTTAAAGATGGTTTAAAAAATAAAAAGAGACTCGCATTTAATCGATAATTTTTATTTATATAAGATCTATAATTCATGGTACAAAAAATTTTATAGTTCAAAATAAAACTTTAATTGGCAATTTTTGATTGAATACAAATGAACTATTAATAAATAATTATTCTATATATGAAAATAATAAAAAAATATAGAATAAAATTTTATCGTTAAATTCTTGTTTTTTGAAAAAATTAAAATTGAACATATACAGTTGTTAAAAATGGTATAATCAATTTTCAATAAATACAATTTCCTTGGAAATTAATTTTTAAATAAAAAATAACAAATTTTACATTTTTTATTTATTTTCACATTTAGAATTACCTTCTATTTATTTCTTACCTTTTCTAGTTTATTCATATGCTATAAATATTTGAATTAATTAATTTTATTTGTATTTGAAAAACTTTCAAATTTGATTTACTTAAAATAAAGTTTGTCACACAATTTCCTTATTTTAAATTTTCTTATTTTGAATTCATGAATATAAAATCCATAGAATCCTGATCCTGTACGATGGATTATGAATCATCCTGTATATATTTAAGACTAAATTGTCTTTTAAATCACCTTGGATTATGAATCACGCAATATGATGACTGGATTAAAAGTACCAGTAAATTTAAATAATTTAATTTTTGTTATCCAATTAGCGTTATCATTCTGTTGTATTCGAAAAATGATCCAGTTATTTCTATAAAGACAACAATGATTAATCACAATTGCTTTGTTCTCTATAATTTTTAATTATCCTTTCTTATTTCTTGTTAATAATGATGATAAAAATTTTCGAATTTTATTAAATATAATTTATAATATATTTATTAAATATAAATAAAATAAAATTATTTAATTTATTTTTTTTATTATAATAAAGTAGTAAAATAAAACAATCATTTTATTAAATAAAATAATAATAATATAATAAGCATAATACAGTCTTAAAATTTTAAACTTAAACATATTATAATGTATAATAACATCATAACATAGACTCATAACTCATAAAAGTATTTGAATATTTATAATAATGTAATATATATTACATGTGTATATAAATTTTTTAGAATGGGAAAAGTAGAAGAAAAAACTGATAGTGACTTATTTAATACGATAATTGATTAATGATAATTGTCTACCTATAATCTATAATTGATTAACTATAAATAAATATAACACTTGCATGAAATTTGTCTTTCTTTTAATAAATTTATTCACTAATATTCATTACTGTTAAAATATCTATATTTATTGTATTAAATACTTAAATTTAGTGTATTTGTTCATGAGAATAAATAAATAAAAGTATATATACGGTATATTAAAGGAAAGTTACTTTGTGTATAGTTTTACAATATCTAGAATTCATTCATAATCAATTATTGATATCTATATTAACTAAGTATTATTTTCATTATTTTTGGCTCAATATCTATATAAATTTATAAATTTTGTTTTATTCCATGTATAAATAATATTTGTAAAAAATATTTGTAAAAAATAATTTATATACTTTATATACTACTTTATATACTACATGAAACACTGAATTCAAAAATTCAGCACAATAATTATATATTCTTTATTTTTCATTTTTTCAATATATTTTTTAATATACAATAACTGGTTCATATACTTTTTTTTGTTATTTTGATTGATATTTAAAATTTGTAAACATTTTACATATAAAAAAATTTCTATTGATAAAAAAAAATATGACACATGACTTAAGAAGAGGTGAATTCTCAACTTCAGAAAATAATTGCTTTAAATCTACAAAAACTAGGAAATTTTATATAGGTTATTCCATGTTATTAGTTACCAGTTTTTTTATGTAAAATGATGATTAGAATAAGTTTTTTAAATTACAATGATCATGAAATGACAAGATTATATTTTCTTTTAATATTATTAATGTTTATATCTTTTATAATAGATGCTGAAACGAATATAATTTTTGCACAATAAGATTTAATAAATTCGTGATACCCGAATGAAAAGATTAGATGTTTCACAATTCTTTCGTTAATGAATTTTTAATAATGAATTTTGAATAGAATTGTAAAAAATTTTATTTTTGCGAATTTTTGAAAATCTTGACAATCGGTATTGATCCATTCAAAATACATTGCAATAATTTTTATAAGATTAAAGCGATAAATGTGAAAAAAATTTTTTTATAATTATAGATCATATTTATCATAAAATATAAAAAATAATATAAATATTAATTTTAAAAAAGTTATGATTTCATGATTAATATTATAAATTTAGAAAATTCGTTTTGGTCATTAAGCAATAAGATTTTTTTATGTTCTATTTCTTTTTAAATCTATTATTTGCGAGAAAAAGATGGAACTATAATATATTACATATATATATATATATATATATTAATGTTTATGATATCCTTAATGTGATATTCTTAAATATTAAAAAATGTTTTGTCGAAATTATTAAAGATTTATTAAATACATATAATATGTTCATCCTTGACTAATATTATTTTTTATTTGTTAACTCCTCGAATATATATATTAGAAAGAAACGAAAAAATCAAGATTGTATGATTTTTGTTATGTATGATTTTTTGTTATAAAATAAAAATATAAAAAATTAATCTTTTAAAATTAATATGTAAAAATAATTTTTATAAAATACATTTTTAAAATATCGCTTTATTTTTTATTTTTTTAAAACATATTTTTACAAAATATAATTGTTTTATAATTGTTTTTTTAATCTTTATTTTCATTATTTTCATAATATCAATTATAATACTTTTCTTCTTAATTTTCTATTATGAATTAATTGATATTTTAAAATGAATATATAAAATGATATTTATAATATATATATAATATAAATAATAAATTATAAATATTTGAGAAATGGTAATTTTTTTAAATTTATGTCATCTAAATTAAATTTTTCGTTCAAGATTATTTTTCAAAATATTACAAAAATTATTATTAAAATAATTATTAAATTAAATAATTTTATAAAAATTGAATTATTATAAATTATCGAATAGAAATTTATAAAAATTAAAATAATAATTTTTAATTTTTAACCACTTTATAGCATTTTAAAAAATCTATTGATTAAATATAAAGAGTTTAAATATTAAATGCTATAGAAGGCAATTTTTTTTCCTTATTACAAATTATAAAAAAAAAAAATTTAATCCTTTCGTTTTCCATTCTAATCACATATTTAATTTCCACATTATGATAACATCTTGAGACACTTCATTGCTATAAAAATAAATTGTTTAATTAAAATGTAGTTTTAATCATTTAAAGAATGATATTAATAATATTGATAACTCGATAAGTTGGTATTTTTTGCAGATTGATATTTTTCATATTGCTGTCAATGTGCAAAAATCGGAATTACGCTCTTGATGTTTCTTCTGCGGCTTCAAAGGCTTCTTCGAAAGTTACGTTAACCAGAGGAACCGTCAACGACATTGTTTCTAGAAATATCACAATGGTTCTCGAGAATCTTCTAATGAATTACGAGAACAATCAACTACCTACTCACGGAAAGGGTAAAGAAACAAATAGTTATATTTTCATTTTATTTCGAACATTATTTTTTAAACCGAATTTTCATTTTTGATACCTATATTAAGTAAGTATTGTTTTCATAATTTTTGGATCAACATCTATACAAATTTATAAATTTTGTTTTTTTCACGTATAAATAATATTTTTAAAAAATATTTGTAAAAAATAAAATATTTTATTTAAATCGAATTAAAATATAAATTAATACAATATAAATTTGTATAACGTATGTTAATATATTTTTGAGATAACTTTTGAAAAATCAATTCTAAAGATAAAAATAAATATAAAAATTGATATACAAAAATACCGATTGAATCTTATATATTAAGTTACAAGAAATTTAACATCGCGTTAGTTGAAGCGAAACAGGACTAAAGTGCAACAACAGTGTAATGAAGATAAAATACTCTCTCATTTTCGCTTCGTCTAACATAAATTTCAATTATTATAACTTAATGAATGAAACTCAATTTTAACTCTCAATTTTTGTATTTCAAATTTATTTTGATTTATAGAATCAACTTTTGAAAGTATTTATATTATATTCTATGAATATAAAAAAGAATCCATTATTTTTATATTTAATTCAAAGCCTATAAATTTTTTTAAAAATAAATTTGAAAAATAGATTACTGGATGAGAAACTGTAAAAGGAGAGTTATGTGATCCATTTTTCAAATTACTTTTAGAAGTTATTACTTTTTGAATTTTCAAATTTCTCTTTGATTTTCAATTATCATATATCATAATTTGTATACATTTGTTCATCTTATTTTTATAAATTTATTTATATTCAATAATTTGTAATATTATAGAAATAAATTTTATTTTACTTAGTATATTATTAAATTCTATACGTACATATATAAAATTTAATTACGATTTTTTTCACTAATCGAAACAATTTTTTACTCATAAAATTTTTTTCATGTTCTGTCAGATTTTGCACGTTCAGAGTAAATTGGATTAATTCAATCTCGATGATGGAGGGATTAAACGATTACGATAGTTTGATAAAAAAAAAAATTTGAGCATGTTCTTAATTTTTTTTTTCTCAATTTTTCAATATTCTGTCCTTAATTTTCTTTTTAAGTATAAAATTTTTGAATTACTTTTTTAACATGCGCAACTGTAATATTATATACTGAATAGTTTAAAATGATTTTGATTATTTTGTTGATGATTTTGTTATTGAAAATAATTGTAAAAGTTTTGAGAGATTTCTTGACTCGAACAAAGATTTAAAATTATTCGAAATATAATATCCAGATAGAAAAATTCTATATAAAACCAGAGATTTGTATAAAATCATAATATAATATTACTTTTATAATGATTTCGAATTTTTTTATTATAATTAGGTATATAGTGTCATTAACGCATCATCATTAAGTTTATTAATAAAACTTGATCAAAAATGATTCAAGTGTGACTTTTTTATATTGTTCTTTCTATTTTTGAAGACTTTCAAATTTTCGATTGTTAAAAAAGGAACTTTTGATAATGTTCAATATATAAAATTTTATAGAATATATATAATATAATATATATAAAATGTTATATATAATTATGCTATATAAAATATTATTATATTATGTTAATTATATTATATATATGTTATATATATTATATAACATTTTTTGGTATGAATGATATAATTTTTCACATATTAAAATGCAAATAATTAAGAGATATTCGTTTTAATTCGTGATGATATTATTAGTAGCTTGTAATATTTATAAAACAATTGTATGTAAAAACAATTATACAGAATAAAATTGGATAACATTCAATTTTATTAAAGAATTAAATCTAAAAAAAAAAGAATTATAAGACTAAATTAAAAAAATTAAATGGTAATGAGATAAAAATAATAATAAACATAAAATCTAATAACATTTGATAGAGACAATAAAAATATTATATTCAAATTAAACGAAGATTATATAGTAATTTAATTTGCTTTTTAAATAAAATATATGCACGTTATATTATAATCCCGTGAATTTGATTGTTATGCTTGCTAAAATCAGTTATAGTATCTAAATCATGGAATAAAATCGTAAAATTAAAATATAAAATTACCTTCTATTTTTTTATATTTTTTTTACTGTTAATAAAATCATTGCATAATAAAGAGATTTTTTTAAATAAATATTAGCTTTACTTTTTTTACTTAATTTAATAGATTTTTATTTATTTTTAGCACTCTTATTT